GAAGAAGAATTGTAGCGTTGAGAAGGATACGGTAAGATTTAGAGTCAAAATGATGGTCAAATTAGGGTTTGACTTCAAAACTTTTTGTATAGGCAATAGACAATATAGATTAGTTCATGTCAAATTTTGGTAATTTTTCGGATCCGTTTGATAATTTTAATTTATTAACTGCAATTATAGAATTTTAATTGATATAAATTGAATTTGAGCTATAACTGCATGAAATAATGGATTAATATTCGTAGAAAATCAAATATGCATTGTTGAGTGAATTTGACAAGGTATTTTTAAATTACATCGTAACAAATTTAGTATAACACACTCTCAAGATTCATGTTCTTTGCCGAGTGCACGAGGCACTCAAAAAAAAAACCAAATTGCACTCGACAAAGAACACACGGCAAAAAAAATTAATCGGCATTATCGGGCACTCGGCAAAGAAAAGTGACCGTCACGGCACCGCCCCGTTGATGGTGGCTTTGCCGAGTGCCAGCCCTGTTTTTTAAAAAATTTCTTTGCCGAGTGCCCGTTGTACGTATTTCGACAAAGTTTGAATTTTTTTTAAATTCTTTGCCGAGTGCCCTCTTGTAGGCACTCGGCAAAGTTTATTTTTTTTAAAATTCTTTGCCGAGTGCCCTGTGGCCGGCACTCGATAAAGTTTGATTTTTTTTAAAAAAAAATCTTTGCCGAGTGCCCTCTGGCCGGCACTCGGCAAAGTTTGAATTTTTTTAATTCTTTGCCGAGTGCCCTATTGTTGGCACTCGGCAAAGTTTGAATTTTTTTTAAATTCTTTGCCGAGTGCCTTCTGGCCGGCACTCGGTAAAGTTTGAATTTTATTTTTTTTAAAAATTCTTTGCCGAGTGCCATGGTCATGGCACTCGGCAAAGCTGGAAAAATGGTTTTTCGAGCGCCCATTTTTCTAGCTTTGCCGAGTGCTGTGACCATGACACTCGGCAACGGGGTCCTTTGCCGAGTGCAACACTCGGCAAAGTGACCCAAAACGGCAATTTTTAATTTTTTTTACATTCCATTATGACAAATAAATTCATACAATCCTATATCTCATCCATCACATATATATCTCATTCATCACATATATATCTCATCCATCACAATATATATCACATATATAATAATAAGTGCTCAAGTCCATCCAAATAAATCCACAAGTCCATCAAAGTCCACAAGTGCATCAGAAGTATATCACAAGTCCATCACCAAGTGAACAACAAATGAAAAAATATAACGTGCACTCATCTCGCCACTTTTGATCAGTGGTGAAGGCCTAGCTCCATCATTCGGAGGTGCATGAGGTGGATTATTCAACCACCGTCGATGGAGACCCATAAAGGAGAAAAGATTGTACGTGAGACAAGATTATTTGGATAGCTAATCTAGGAAGGTAGAGACCATACAAGCAAAGCACAAGTGAAAGTAAAAAACTTTCATACTCACAGGAGTAGCTGGAGCTGTAGGACGCAGAGGCGGAGGTGGGACCAACAGCCCAGGTGGTAGAGAGAAGCCCACACGTTGCCCAAGCCCTTGTAGGAACTCAGAATGTCCGTCGACCCTCTCTGCTGGGGCTCTGCCCTTTCGCCCCGCTCAGCCTCCCGCTTGACCCACTCGGCCTCCAGCTGGGCCGCCATCCTCTGGTGCCCGGCCTCTAGCTCCTGACGTTGCCTCATTTCTTGTTCCAGCCGGGCCTACAATGTTTCACTCCAATGTTTCAGTAATGCAAAGCTAATTAATGTGTGTAAAGATTAATGTATGACGAGTAAAACAGGAATAACCTCGAGTGTGTCGACCCAGTGTTGTGCAGCGGTCGGCCGTGTGCGAATGGTCGGGCTCTCGCTCGTGCTGCGTGCTCGGATCTAGGAGAGAGAGGGAGTAGAGGCCGTGTCGATGACACCGTCGCCAAGACAGAACCGCCCATGCTTCTTGCCTTGCCCTGCCCTCATGACGGCCTCTCCATCGAAGTCCTGGGTGCTCGGATCGTGGTCTGACCCATGGAGCGACCTCGCCACCTCAGTGTACTCACTGATGCGGGAGTGGACGCTCAGGTTCGTGTATGCCTCGGGTGGGTCCTCCAGGTTGAAGGAGACATCGGACGTTGCCTTGCCCTTGTGGGCCATACACCATGCCTGGAAGTCCGAGCAAGCCTGGCCACTATGTGACACCGACTACGAGAAAGACAGCACGATGATTAGAAATCAGGCAGAACTGAGCGTCACAATAGATAAATGAATTTGTGTACCCATGCTTGTTTGTATCCGGCGAGGCTGTGGCTGCCTTGATGGTGTGCTGGACCTTGCATCTACAAATGACGGTCCCGGGCATCCCTGTGCATCTTGAGGTACTCCTCCGTGAACCACCTCTCCACCATCATTGCCCAGCACTCGAGATACGCTTGGCACCACCAGGATTGTACCATTTGCCATTTTTATGCCATGTCATCTGTTTCGTGGATTCCTTGGTCATGTATAGCCATTGGATCCTCGGTAGGAAGGGAAGGTACCGTAGGATTTTCACGGGGATCATAAGTTGCCTCTTCTGGCCATCATCAGAGTCTACCTATAGGTACCTGGAGGAATTCCACTTTGTATAGAACTTTGCATGCTCGTGTTCTTTCCTAAATAGGATGCACCCCTTTGGACAAGCATGTATCTGCTCATACGGCATCTTAAGTGCACGAAGGAGTTTCTATGACTCGTACATGCTCTTTGGCAGAATGTGGCCCTCCGGAAGCAGGGTGCCAATCACGGCCAACATCTTATCGAAGCCAAGTCGATTCAAGTTTAACTCGGACTTCAACCCCATTAAGCGTCCAATGGCATCCAGTTGAGACACCATTGACCGATCATGAAGGGGTTTCTGTGCTGAGTCCATCATGTCGTAGAACGCCTATGCGGCTGCCTCCATCTCCTCCTTCTCACATCCCTCATCGAACTGTCCTTGGTGAAAGTCATCTAACATGTCTGCTACCCCGGCATCAGCATCAAAAGCCTCCACCCGTGGTCTGACCACCTCCTCTCTCATACGATGGGCTTCACCATGGTGGACCCACCGGGTGTAGTCCGGTGTGAATCCATTCTTCACAAGAGTTTACCCATTTCCACCTTGTTTACCCTTCTCCTGTTTCCACATTTGCTGCAGGGACACAAAACTAGGCAATGTCCTTTAGCAGCCTTGCCAAATGCACTATTCAAGAAAGCATCGGTCTTGTTCATCCATTCCGTGGTGTAATCACTCTGACTTCTCCAGGCTGTGTACATCCACTGACGGTCATCCATCCTCTAACATATGTATCAGCGAGTAATGTAACCATCAATTGCATCTACATGGTGTTCCTACTGTCTAATAGGTGAGGATAGGTCCTAATCCAACCCGTGGATGCGTAGATGAGGTTAGTTTCCATGCTCTACTCCTCTCCGAGACAGAATTTCGGCAGCACCTCCCCGCTGTTCTCTAGATACACGTCCTGCCAAAGAAGAGTGCGTATCCGGAGAACAACAGGGAGGTGATGCCGAAACTCTGTCTCGGACCGGAGCAGACCATGGAAACTAACCCATCTACGCATCCGCGGGCTGTCCAAAAAACGTGGACAATCCGAAACAGATACGGTCATAGATATGCAAAGATCTGCATACCTCCAACCGTATCTCTTTCGAACGGGAGACGCCTAACTGGGTTACGCGATCTACGACCATGATACGGAAAGGGGGGTTATACCTAGGGTGGCGGCGAAGTCAGGCTAGCGGGGCCGTGGTGGGTCGGTGCAGTGGCGATGCGACGTGGTGCAGGCAGACCGGCACGGCGATGGGAACTCCGACTTGGCTCCGACGGGCTCTTCTCTACAAAAATGGAACAAAATACTGTCATTTAAAAAAAATTCGGCAGAACCTCCCCTACACGGTGAGGTTTCCAAAACCTGCAAAAAACAACGGCACGATGGCCGACAAGCACATATGTCTCAAGAGAAGCCACGTAGTTTGTATATCAATCCATGCAGAAGAATATATCCAAGTAGTACCACTACTTCTACTACTACTTCCACTATTGCTACTACTACTACCACTAGTTCTACTACTACTACCACTATTGCTACAACTACTACCACTAGTTCTACTACTACTACTACCACTACTTCTACTACTACTACCACTACTTCTACTACTACTACCACGCGGGCACGCGGGCAGCGCGGGCGGTGGTGCGTGAAAGTGTGTGCGGTGGCGGCAAAGAATTTTTTTTTTCGAAATGTCTTTGCCGAGTGCCCCTGTGAAGGCACTCGGCAAAGAGGAATTTTAAAAAAATTCAATACCCTCTTTGTCGAGGGCAGTAAAATGGAAGATTTACAACTTGTAACTGTTGTTACATTACATACATAATAATAAATCAATTGCTCTATCTGGGGTTGCTGACCATAAGGAATTTGTTAGTATTGTGTGCTAATCAAGTTTTAGAAGCCTATTGAACACCTCAACATAGCGATGACTGATGATGCTTTGTTCATTCCATTTACTGGGTAGTACAGGAACATACTGAGCTCCCCTGCAACATATTTATAGAAGGCCATCACCACTTGTTTGAATTGTTTAAGCAAAATAGGTTTCGATATGCATGTTGGCATGTGTTTGAGCTCAGCCACTATGTTGTAGTTGAATAGCAGTTGATGCATTATTGCCCTCAGGCCTCAGCTTACTTTGGTCATGTGAATATTGAGTTGCTTACCATAACACCTTCTTCAGGGATTTGGACGCCTTTCATTAGTTGCAGCATCTGCTGCCCAGTCTGCTGCCAGTGTTGTCCAAGTCGGCACAAAAGAAATCCAATCAAAGGTGACTAATATGTGCTTACCTATTCTGCTGTGCAACAATTGATTCCCGGGTCTAGTTATGTGTTGGCTGTGGAGTTTGAACCCCTCTTTGGGGTTCACCGAGCTCATATAGCTTTTTTTTTTCTAAACACTTCTTGCTTGAATCTTACAACCACATATCAACATGCAGGCTTTTGCCACCGCTCCCTGCCCCACCCTGCCGTCTGGTTCCGCCTTGCCCTCCCGCTGCCCCACAACTTGCCGTCGTTTTGCAAGGTATAAGTTGTGTATGTGGTTGTCGGCCATCGTGCCGTTTTATTTGTTGCAGGTTTTGGAAACCTCCCCGTGCAGGGGGGGTGCTGCCGAAATTTAGATTTGACACTATTATGTTCCTTTTATTGCAGGAGAGGCTATTGCAACGTCCTCGACTCGTCACTTTGTAGGACAGTAAGGTGAGGCATAAAAGACCCTTCTTTCCGTATCATGTTCGTATATCACGTAACCTAACTAGGCGTCTCCCGTTCGAAAGATATACGGTTGGAAATATGCAAGTTCTTGAAGAGCTTGAACTATCCTTTTTCAATTGGAACCAGGTTTAAAGTTGGCTGCGAGAATGAAGATGCTAACGAGAGGTCTACATTCTTTTAACTTCGGAAATCATTTTTCCATGTACAACAGTATCTTGAATTGTCTTCTATGTTTGTAGGTCCTTTGGATTGATCTCAGGTATTAGTGAAGTTGATCCCATACGCTGGCCTGGATCAAAATGGAAATCTCTCCTGGTATGATTTTAGACGTCCTGTTTTTCCTAGCCAAAGAGCCATAGCCAGATTTTCCTGTCGTTCTTAATTGTGGTGTACTACTGATACCTTCTAACAAGTCATATTAACCCATTGAATTCGATCGGACTAGCTTGCAATGAACTTCAACAAGTCGGTAAAAACTTTGGTCTTCCACTTGCTGATTTTTTTGGTGGAAGTAGGATCATCATTAAGGTTGAACCTAAGCTGGCTATATATATGTGGGGGAGGAAAAGTGTAACCTAGAGTTGTTTGCGTACCCAAATCTAATATGGTCAACAACTATGCTTAAATATGGTGAGATAAAGGTGTAAAAGATTCTTGGTGCTTTTATAATCTAACCTCCTATACAATATAAATAGAAATGGATCTAGTTTTTAATACTTGTTTAGACTTAATGTATGTCATGGGGATACTTGACTTTCCTTCTTCTCATCTGTTTGCATGATTTACAGGTAAAGTGGGATGGTGATACTAAGTACAGCCACCAGAATAGAGTATCTCCATGGGACATCGAGAGAGTTGGCAGCTCTACTCACTGTATTTCGTCTTCTGTTTCAAGCGAACAAAGTTGTGCTTCCCCAAGGTGATTTTGACGCGCCAATTCTAGGTAGGTTCCACAGCATGAAACTAATACAGATTCATAGCTAAAAGGTTCCTTTAGTCAGGTCCATTTAACTATTTGCGTGAAACATGTAGATGGAAATGGTCGTCCAGACTCCATGGAAACTGAACGTTTCCACCGGGTCTTGCAAGGTCAAGAATTGGTGCACTCTAGGATTCATGGTGTTGCATGCTCTCATTCATCAGATAACCCCAGATGTCAAGGCTCCTATGGAAGGAGATTCTCTGCCGATGTGTGGAACTGCAAGATGAATGATTCAATGAGTGGGCCTCGACACCTAAATGCTACTGGGTTTGCTTACCAGCCCCTAGGCTTCAGTGAATGTGTCAAATTCTCAGAGGTCTTGCAAGGTCAAGAAATGTCTCAGGTGGTTCCTTCCTTCATGAGAGCTGCTTTCAACGCTGGCACACAGAATGGCAGGGTTCGATCATTTGATTATGTGCAGAGATCAGCTGCAAGTCAACGATATGCTCTCCAGCAGTTTAATATGCCAGCAACAGAAGTGCATTCGCCCTCTTCTGTTCTTATGTTTAACCAAACCATGGTACCACAGCCTGAGTTAGATGGTGTGACCAACCGTGAAGAAGCATATGGCAGTGGGTACTCATTCATTGCAATACAGAGAGAAGCTGCACCATGGCCATCCACGCAGCAGCAAAGAGTGAGTGAAAATGGAAGCGAGCCGCTTGACACAACTGAAGCCTCAGCTCCTGCAAGGATAGCTAAATCTGGATTGGTCGACAGGGGCGTCGGGCGAAGCAGCTGTAAGCTTTTGGTTTCTCCTTGACTGAGAAGATCCTTGGAACAGAGGGAGGTGGTGTGAAAGAAGGGAACTACGAAGCGGACCGGCAAACTCCCCGGGTGCTAGACTTGTTTGGCCACGGCCATTCTACGCCCGGTGCTCTGCATGCTCTTTGCGCTGCTCCCTTGGGAATGTGATGATGTTTTACTTAGTGTTATAGTAGTTAGATTTATGTAATCCTTCTGTCATGTCCATAGTGTTGGACACGGACAATCTGGGCAAAGCCGCAATATGTCCCACGTAGTCGGTAGTCAACAGTCCCGCCTGTTTAATTTGGCGTTTTTCCGGTATGAATTCCAGACATCCTCTTTTCAGATCCATGAAGGCGATTTCTGGCAGGCATGCGCTGCTCTGGCAAAATTCTGATCTTCAGTCGCTGGTTTTGAACTTCGACGGTCTGGCTGTTTTCATTAGGAAAGTGCTATTACAAGGTCGTCCGTGCCGTCCGCACGCTTCAGCGGACAGGCCCGATAGGCGTGCTCACCTTTATGTTTCTTTTACCTCTGGAATTTTTCTCCAATCGCACTTGTATCGGTGTCGCGGCCTCTCTGCGCATCCGCCTGCCCTGCCGCGCCCTCTTCCCCCACCGTGGCCCATCCCCTGCTGTGCCGTGCCCTTCCCCCACCGTGCTGCACCCAATCACTAGCCCGCTGCGCCCCAACACCCGCAAGCGGACGATGCTAGACGACTGTGGCAGAGCAGCAACGGCGCTAGAGTAGCAGCAGCGGGCCCGCGCCCATGGGCATGAGCATAGGGCGCGAGCAGGTGTTGGAGAATGGCAAGAGGAGCGATAGGCCACGCTGACGGCTGACGGGCGCAAGCGCGCGGAGTGACCCCCTGACCCGAGCTTACTGGCTACCGCAGTTCCTCACTTGGTAGGCCGTGGTTGCCGGCGATGCCGTGTTTTAAGTGTTTCAGGCGTTTTAGGCTTATGTTTCAAGTGTTTCATCTAAATGTTGCAAAAGTATATCCGAGATGTTGCATATGTTGCAATGACAATATACGCATGTTTCAAGCATATATTTTCAAGTGTTTCAGACGTATGTTTTAAGTTTTTCATCTGGACGTTGCAAAAGAAGATCTGACTACATATACATGCATATGTTTTGCAATGGCTGCACACGTGTTTTTCAAGTGTTTCAGACATATATTGCAAATGTTTTAGCTGTTTCGGACTTATGTTGCAAGTGTTTCATCTGGGTGTTGCAAAAGTAGATCTAGAATTTTGTTGATTTAATTAGAAAAATTGATCAAGTCTAGTTAAATCCCACGATTGCCAGCACAAGGAAGATTGACCGCCACAGCAAGGCAACATACTTATTGTGCTGTAGGTACTTGATGGTCGCTTTGGTTGTACATAAATGATTTGGTGTTTGAAAAGAAACATGTTCATTTTTCTTTATAGGTGTTACATTTGTTATCCATTGGCTTCGTACATGGGATATCCTCCAAAAGGTTACTTCACGAGCTTTGGTTGCAGCGGCATCGCAACAAGTGGCGCAAGCGGTCATAGTTTTTTTTTCTCTCCCGATTATATGGGTAACGATCTAGTTTTAGGATTGATAGTCATTAGAGTGACTGGCTTCTCCTTGTTAGGGTGTATGCTTTTATGCAGAGGCCAGCTTGAGTTCATAACTATTGTATCAACTCAATGTAACAAATGATTGTTTTTTTAAACAATTCGGCATACTTTATTCATTCAAGACAGTTACATCACTTGCTAGGCAATAGTATGAAGCTAGGGGGCTCATCGTCCCAAGTACAATTTTGCTTACACTGCATCGCTCTTCTTGCTAAATTATGCGCCGCTTGATTTGCCTCTCTATTACAATGCTCAATCATAATATCCTGAAACCTGCTCTGTATGATGTTACACTCATCATATAAGGCGGTTGCTGAATTTGCCGTGAAACCTCAATCCTTCATTGTTTGTACGACCTCCATGCAGTTTGATTATATAATTAGCCGGTTGCACCCAATGGGTTGCGCTAGCATCAATCTTTCTTTCAACGCGTAGGCTTCCGCCATCGGTGCATCTACCAAGTGTAGCACGAAGCTGTGGGCAGCAGCTAAGACTCCTCTGGTGCTATCTCTTATGGCCACTCCCACACTACCACACCCCACATCTTCATCAAAGGCCGCATTAACATTCACCGTCACTTTCCCTTCTGAGGCTTCAACCATCCCGCCGTATCTCATGACCCCTCTTCATTGCCGCTTTATAATTTTTTTATTAAGCGCGATAGACATGGCTGATCTTGAGGAATGATTGTTAATTAATAAAATCCTTTCCTTATGAAAACACTTATTGTGACTACAAGTTGACGCACGTCCAATATTATTAGGTAACCAAAGAACAACTTATTACCGAAAAAAGGAAAGTCCTATTCACCAAACAATTATGGGTAGACCTCAATGATGGACCGAACACCAAGAACGGGTATGATTTTGTAATCACTAAATCCAGCTTCAAAAATGATCTTCTTCCACTCTTGCTCGTCTCGCTCGACGCCGTTGATAAACATGATGTAGAGATCAAACAAGACCTGGGTCTCTTTGTGCTTAATGTTTGACGATTGGCCCCCAATAACCATATCTAGGATTATCACCTTTCCTCCTGCATCCCTGGGAGGTATAGCTTTCTTACAATTCTTTAGTATCTTGATACAATCAGCATCGCCCCAGTCATGCAAAACCCACTGAAACCAGATAAATAAAAGATGAACGAATAAAGTTGATCAGTAATAACGAACGGGTTGGCCATATATATGTTTTCACCACCTTCTCCAACAGCATAATAAAACAGTGTAAATTTGCGTATAGAGGCCAAATCAAACAATTAAAAAAACAGTAAAGGACGATGTACCTTAAGGAAGACGGCGTCTGCCGGTGGAATGTTCTCAAACATGTCACCAGCAATATACTTCACACTGGTGCTAAGCGGGAGCATTAGGCGGTGACATGCGGGAGATCCAGCACGCTGCACTGGACATGCGGAACGCGGTCAAGATAGCCATGGCCGCCCCTCCGAGCCCTCCAGCGACGTCGACAATGGAGCTCAGCCCCCGGAAGACGTCGCCGCACTCCTTGATGACGATGTCCATGATGAAGCTGCTGTCACAGACCATCCCCTGGTTGAAGAGCTGGCCGAAGGCAGGGTTGTGGTGGTTCAAGTCCCACGCAGTCTGCCCATGCGTCATCTCAAACAGGGACGGATCTGAGTGCTCTTGCTGGAACCACGTGCCGAGGCCAAGGAAAGGGGACACGATGATCCCATGCAACACCAGGGACACGAAGGGAGTCAAGCTTGAAGAGCCGCCAACCAAGAGCTGAGACGCCGGCGTGAGCCCGTAGACGAGCTCGCTGCCGCCAGCGTCGTCGTGGTGGGCGGCGCTGAAGATGCCGGTGGCCGTGAGTACTCGCATGAGGCGACGCAAGCAGGGGATCTTGGACGGGTGGAGCGTGGGCGTGGCCCTGGACCCTATCTGGGCCAGGGTGGCGTTGCCACCGTGGCTGTGGATGGCGTCGGCGATGCCAAGGTCCAATGCAGACTTGAGCGCCATGGACTTCATGTAAGCAAAGGTAGTGTGCCAGAGCTCTAGCTGAGCGTCAAGCAAGGCTTGGTTATTATTAGTGCTTGTGGTGAGCGCCATGGTGCTGTTGTGCTACTGCACGCCGTGTACTGAATTGATTTGTGTGGAATTGAGGGTTAGAACTCTCTCTCTATATATAGACGCGCGTGCAGTGTACAACGAACAAATGAAGTGAACATGCGATGTGCACTTTAATTAGTTTAATCACAGAGTATTAACTCCTTTCTTTTAATTTAACTACTAATATAGAAACATTATTTGCATGTGTTAAACGCGTTGGCCCGCAGCGGTTCCTCTAGCAGCGATGGCGATTGTGTCGGTGCTGAGCACTGAGCACCTGTTAACGTGCGGACAAGGGAATCAAGTGGACGCGAGAACCCATCACTCACGTGAATACCATGTATTCTATAATTATCTAACAGTACTTACTCCCTCCTTTTCAAATTATTTGACGTTTTGGCTTTTGTAGATACACTTCAGAGAATCACTCCTCTCTGGAAAACTGTTTGCAGTGTTCCTGCTGGATTTAGCAGAGAATCACCTTTGAGAGCTCTGCCAAATGAGATTACAGGTCGTAATTCTCTGTTGATAGTGTGAAGCGATTCTCTACAATAAATTAAGAGACTAAGAGCTAAAAAAAAGTAGCATCTCCTAATTCTACAAAGTGATTCTCCTTTCGGCTCTGAGCAAAATTAATGCATATTCAGATGGGGATCCCCCCATTGACTTTCAAAAAAACATCTACAGAGTGATTCTCCATTACGATTTTAAGAGTTTATCCTAAAGAATTAAAGAGAATCACTTTCAGCCACATAATTACTTCTATGCCATAAGTAGTTACAAAGTACTCCTTGCAGCCACGAAATTACTTATATGCCATAAGTAGTTACAAGTACTCCTATGATCCTATCCTCCAACACGATGCGGATCGATTTGCTCTCGTAACTCCCCACGTGACTCGTGACTGTAGCACCACCGCCGCCGCTCTCCACCTCCACCGTTTTAATAAGTTTTCTAGTAGATCGAGTCCTTAGGCTTATGGTCTCTCTATGCCAAGTTTCTTGGTTTTGGGGATTTATCTCCTCCTCCTCCTCTCCGGCGACGGCGAGAGGGCAGGGTGGAATCATTTTCTACATGGCGGCTCTGTTGAAGATGGGGCGACAACTATGGCGTCAGCATCCTCACCGGTATGACGACATGGAGACTTTTATTTTCGGACGATGACATCAAGGCGGAGATGGTGTCGCCGCCATGGAATAATTTTCTCTGGTCTCTTCTCCGTTTTATTGTGGTTAGATCTGGTCACGATGAAGGACTAGGGGATATAAATTTCAGACCAGTCTTCCTCATTCTTTGGTGGCACAAAGAAGAAGGAAGACACCAGAAAGAAGAAGTTTCTCAATTCCGCCTACATGAATGTTGGCTATCGTTCGTTGGGCATCTGTTCTCAGGCCTTTTGCCGAGTCTTTACCTGTGTGGTCATCCATACTGCAAAGTGTCGTATATGTTTGATTTTGAGATCTGGAGCTATTCACAGCGTGGGTATAATTTAGATGAAAATCAGTTTATGGATATTTGTGTAATCCAGAGTGCTTGTAACGTGTTGACGAAGCTTACTATTATCTAATATAATTCTGGTTTCGTCGAGAAAAAAATATCTCCGTCAGTATTTTCTCGAGTGGATATATTCGGGACCCGGAATTTCTCATCCAGTGTTATTAAGCCGACAGACATTTAAGAAAATCCTGACACGGAGATATGATTGGCCAGCACTGAAAAGCCCTGCAGACTTATCTGGCCACCACTGATAAGCCTACAACTGCCGAACTTTATTTTGGATTAAATATCCACGTGAAAAACAGAAAATCATGGCAGCAAATAAGCCACGTACTTGTGGTACCAACTCACCACGTTTTTTTTTGCAAATATGTGCATTGCATGTATCTCATTAAAGAGGGTAACTCACCACGTTCATGGTAGACCTTAGCAGCCAATGCAAGTTCTCGAAACATTGGGATCAACTTTTAAAACATATGGTACCAAGAGAGTATACCTATACCTATTTTTTGTATTGTTCCTGTAAAAATCTAAGGTCTATCGAGTATAATTGGAACAAGGTTCCCCTAAACCAGAAACAATAATGCTTGTGTTCGTGCGTTCGGATGCATCAACCCACAAGTAAGGCTTTCACAAGCAAGCTCAAATGCCTTCCTCCTTAGGCTTACTTTATTATTTCTCTCCTACCATATCCTCTCATCTCACTTTTCCACTATGGCCAACCCTCGTTGTACGGTGCCGCTGATGGCTAAGGCATACACACCGCCGTTCGCCGCCTCTGAGCGATTTCTTGGCTTCCCGCGCGGCGAGTTGTGGCTACTTTCGCAGCTGGTGTGGCTGAGTGAGCTCCGCTCCGCCCCCACCCATGGTTGTACGCATTGGAGCTCCACTCGATGCACCTCAATCGAGCTCGTCACCGTCGATGGCTTCCACGCTGACCGGTTCGACCACGACGCAGTTCGTGCCACGGCTCCTGGACCCGCAGTCGCGTCGTCTGCGTGTGGCGCTCCCGCTCCTACCGTCTCTGCTCACCTAGTGGCGCTCCCACTCCTGCCACCGAGTTCTCCACGCTGATGTGGTGTGGTCCACGACGACTCCTCTGGCGCGGCATTCTCCATCGCACCTAGCTGCCCGGCTGCCGCCATCCTCCCTCTCCACCCGAGCGCCGCTTGCTGGCTACCGCAGTTCCCCACCAGGTAGGCCGTGGCCGCCGACGATATCGTGTTTCAAGTGTTTCAGACGTATGTTTTCAAGTGTTTCATTTGGATGTTGTGAATGTTGCAATGGCTATATATGCATGTTGCAAACGTATGTTTCATGTTACAAGCAAATGTTTCAGGTGTTTCAAATGTATGTTTCAAGTGTTTCATCTGGGTGTTGCAAAAGTAGATCTAGAATTTTGTTGATTTAATTAGAAAAATTGATCAAGTCTAGTTAAATCCCACGATTGCCAGCACAAGGAAGATTGACCGCCACAGCAAGGCAACATACTTATTGTGCTGTAGGTACTTGATGGTCGCTTTGGTTGTACATAAATGATTTGGTGTTTGAAAAGAAACATGTTCATTTTTCTTTATAGGTGTTACATTTGTTATCCATTGGCTTCGTACATGGGATATCCTCCAAAAGGTTACTTCACGAGCTTTGGTTGCAGCGGCATCGCAACAAGTGGCGCAAGCGGTCATAGTTTTTTTTTCTCTCCCGATTATATGGGTAACGATCTAGTTTTAGGATTGATAGTCATTAGAGTGACTGGCTTCTCCTTGTTAGGGTGTATGCTTTTATGCAGAGGCCAGCTTGAGTTCATAACTATTGTATCAACTCAATGTAACAAATGATTGTTTTTTTTAAACAATTCGGCATACTTTATTCATTCAAGACAGTTACATCACTTGCTAGGCAATAGTATGAAGCTAGGGGGCTCATCGTCCCAAGTACAATTTTGCTTACACTGCATCGCTCTTCTTGCTAAATTATGCGCCGCTTGATTTGCCTCTCTATTACAATGCTCAATCATAATATCCTGAAACCTGCTCTGTATGATGTTACACTCATCATATAAAGGCGGTTGCTGAATTTGCCGTGAAACCTCAATCCTTCATTGTTTGTACGACCTCCATGCAGTTTGATTATATAATTAGCGGTTGCACCCAATGGGTTGCGCTTAGCATCAATCTTTCTTTCAACGCGTAGGCTTCCGCCATCGGTGCATCTACCAAGTGTAGCACGGTTGCTGTGGGCAGCAGCTAAGACTCCTCTGGTGCTATCTCTTATGGCCACTCCCACACTACCACACCCCACATCTTCATCAAAGGCCGCATTAACATTCACCGTCACTTTCCCTTCGAGGCTTCAACCATCCCCGCCAGATCTGTGACCCTCTCTTCATTGCCGCTTTATAATTTTTTTTATTAGCGCCATGATAGACATGGCTGATCTTGAGGGAATGATTGTTAATTAATAAAATCCTTTCCTTATGAAAACACTTATTGTGACTACAAGTTGACGCCGTCCAATATTATTAGGTAACCAAAGAACAACTTATTACCGAAAAAAGGAAAGTCCTATTCACCAAACAATTATGGGTAGACCTCAATGATGGACCGAACACCAAGAACGGGTATGATTTTGTAATCACTAAATCCAGCTTCAAAAATGATCTTCTTCCACTCTTGCTCGTCTCGCTCGACGCCGTTGATAAACATGATGTAGAGATCAAACAAGACCTGGGTCTCTTTGTGCTTAATGTTTGACGATTGGCCCCCAATAACCATATCTAGGATTATCACCTTTCCTCCTGCATCCCTGGGAGGTATAGCTTTCTTACAATTCTTTAGTATCTTGATACAATCAGCATCGCCCCAGTCATGCAAAACCCACTGAAACCAGATAAATAAAAGATGAACGAATAAAGTTGATCAGTAATAACGAACGGGTTGGCCATATATATGTTTTCACCACCTTCTCCAACAGCATAATAAAACAGTGTAAATTTGCGTATAGAGGCCAAATCAAACAATTAAAAAAAAACAGTAAAGGACGATGTACCTTAAGGAAGACGGCGTCTGCCGGTGGAATGTTCTCAAACATGTCACCAGCAATATACTTCACACTGGTGCTAGCGGGAGCATTGGCGGTGACATGCGGGAGATCCAGCACGCTGCACTGGACATGCGGGAACGCGGTCAAGATAGCCATGGCCGCCCCTCCGAGCCCTCCAGCGACGTCGACAATGGAGCTCAGCCCCCGGAAGACGTCGCCGCACTCCTTGATGACGATGTCCATGATGAAGCTGCTGTCACAGACCATCCCCTGGTTGAAGAGCTGGCCGAAGGCAGGGTTGTGGTGGTTCAAGTCCCACGCAGTCTGCCCATGCGTCATCTCAAACAGGGACGGATCTGAGTGCTCTTGCTGGAACCACGTGCCGAGGCCAAGGAAAGGGGACACGATGATCCCATGCAACACCAGGGACACGAAGGAGTCAAGCTTGAAGAGCCGCCAACCAAGAGCTGAGACGCCGGCGTGAGCCTGTAGACGAGCTCGCTGCCGCCAGCGTCGTCGTGGTGGGCGGCGCTGAAGATGCCGGTGGCCGTGAGTACTCGCATGAGGCGACGCAAGCAGGGGATCTTGGACGGGTGGAGCGTGGGCGTGGCCCTGGACCCTATCTGGGCCAGGGTGGCGTTGCCACCGTGGCTGTGGATGGCGTCGGCGATGCCAAGGTCCAATGCAGACTTGAGCGCCATGGACTTCATGTAAGCAAAGGTAGTGTGCCAGAGCTCTAGCTGAGCGTCAAGCAAGGCTTGGTTATTATTAGTGCTTGTGGTGAGCGCCATGGTGCTGTTGTGCTACTGCACGCCGTGTACTGAATTGATTTGTGTGGAATTGAGGGTTAGAACTCTCTCTCTATATATAGACGCGCGTGCAGTGTACAACGAACAAATGAAGTGAACATGCGATGTGCACTTTAATTAGTTTAATCACAGAGTATTAACTCCTTTCTTTTAATTTAACTACTAATATAGAAACATTATTTGCATGTGTTAAACGCGTTGGCCCGCAGCGGTTCCTCTAGCAGCGATGGCGATTGTGTCGGTGCTGAGCACTGAGCACCTGTTAACGTGCGGACAAGGGAATCAAGTGGACGCGAGAACCCATCACTCACGTGAATACCATGTATTCTATAATTATCTAACAGTACCTACTCCCTCCTTTTCAAATTATTTGACGTTTTGACTTTTGTAGATACACTTCAGAGAATCACTCCTCTCTGGAAAACTGTTTGCAGTGTTCCTGCTGGATTTAGCAGAGAATCACCTTTGAGAGCTCTGCCAAATGAGATTACAGGTCGTAATTCTCTGTTGATAGTGTGAAGCGATTCTCTACAATAAATTAAGAGACTAAGAGCTAAAAAAAAGTAGCATCTCCTAATTCTACAAAGTGATTCTCCTTTCGGCTCTGAGCAAAATTAATGCATATTCAGATGGGGATCCCCCCCATTGACTTTCAAAAAAACATCTACAGAGTGATTCTCCATTACGATTTTAAGAGTTTATCCTAAAGAATTAAAGAGAATCACTTTCAGCCACATAATTACTTCTATGCCATAAGTAGTTACAAAGTACTCCTTGCAGCCACGAAATTACTTATATGCCATAAGTAGTTACAAGTACTCCTATGATCCTATCCTCCAACACGATGCAGATCGATTTGCTCTCGTAACTCCCCACGGGACTCGTGACTGTAGCACCACCGCCGCCGCTCTCCGCCTCCACCGTTTTAATAAGTTTTCTAGTAGATCGAGTCCTTAGGCTTATGGTCTCTCTATGCCAAGTTTCTTGGTTTTGGGGATTTATCTCCTCCTCCTCCTCTCCGGCGACGGCGAGAGGGCAGGGTGGAATCATTTTCTACATGGCGGCTCTGTTGAAGATGGGGCGACAACTATGGCGTCAGCATCCTCACCGGTATGACGACATGGAGACTTTTATTTTCGGACGATGACATCAAGGCGGAGATGGTGTCGCCGCCATGGAATAATTTTCTCTGGTCTCTTCTCCGTTTTATTGTGGTTAGATCTGGTCACGATGAAGGACTAGGGGATATAAATTTCAGACCAGTCTTCCTCATTCTTTGGTGGCACAAAGAAGAAGGAAGACACCAGAAAGAAGAAGTTTCTCAATTCCGCCTACATGAATGTTGGCTATCGTTCGTTGGGCATCTGTTCTCAGGCCTTTTGCCGAGTCTTTACCTGTGTGGTCATCCATACTGCAAAGTGTCGTATATGTTTGATTTTGAGATCTGGAGCTATTCACAGCGTGGGTATAATTTAGATGAAAATCAGTTTATGGATATTTGTGTAATCCAGAGTGCTTGTAACGTGTTGACGAAGCTTACTATTATCTAATATAATTCTGGTTTCGTCGAGAAAAAAATATCTCCGTCAATATTTTCTCGAGTGGATATATTCGGGACCGAATTTCTCATCCAGTGTTATTAAGCCGACAGACATTTAAGAAAATCCTGACACGGAGATATGATTGGCCAGCACTGAAAAAGCCCTGCAGACTTATCTGGCCACCACTGATAAGCCTACAACTGCCGAACTTTATTTTGGATTAAATATCCACGTGAAAACAGAAAATCATGGCAGCAAATAAGCCACGTACTTGTGGTACCAACTCACCACGTTTTTTTTTGCAAATATGTGCATTGCATGTATCTCATTAAAGAGGGTAACTCACCACGTTCATGGTAGACCTTAGCAGCCAATGCAAGTTCTCGAAACATTGGGATCAACTTTTAAAACATATGGTACCAAGAGAGTATACCTATACCTATTTTTTGTATTGTTCCTGTAAAAATCTAAGGTCTATCGAGTATAATTGGAACAAGGTTCCCTAAACCAGAAACAATAATGCTTGTGTTAAATGCGTTCGGATGCATCAACCCACAAGTAAGGCTTTCACAAGCAAGCTCAAATGCCTTCCTCCTTAGGCTTACTTTATTATTTCTCTCCTACCATATCCTCTCATCTCACTTTTCCACTATGGCCAACCCTCGTTATGCGGTGCAGCTGATGGCTAAAACATACACACCACCGCTCACGCCTTCTCGAGCGATTTCTTGGCTTCAGCATGGGCGAGTTGTGGCTACTTCATGGTGGTGGTGTGGTGAGTGAGCTCCGCTCCGCCCCCACCCATGGTTGTACGCATTGGAGCTCCACTCGATGCACCTCAATCGAGCTTCGTCACCGTCGATGGCTTCCACGCTGACCGGTTCGACCACGACGCATTCGTGCCACGGCTCTGGACCCTTGCATCGCTGTCGTCTGCAAGCGTGTGGCGCTCCCGCTCTACCCGTCTCTGCTCACCTAGTGGCGCTCCCACTCCTGCCACCGAGTTCTCCACGCTGATGTGGTGTGGTCCACGACGACTCCTCCGCGCGCGGCATTCTCCATCGCACCTAGCTGCCCGGTACGCCGCCATCCTCCCTCTCCACCCGAAGGCCGCTTCTCGCTACCGCAGATTCCCCACCGGGTAGGCCGTGGCAGCGCCCGATATCGTGTTTCAAGTGTTTGAGACGTATGTTTTCAAGTGTTTCATTTGGATGTTGTGAATGTTGCAATGGCTATATATGCATGTTGCAAGCGTATGTTTCATGTTACAAGCAAATGTTTGGTGTTTCAAATGTATGTTTCAAGTGTTTCATCTGGATGTTGCGTATAGATTGAGATGTTGCATAACATGCATGTTCTAAGCATATGTTTTTAAGTGTTGCATACATTATGTTGTAAGTGTTTCATTTGTATGTTGCATATACTTGAAATAGCTTTTCAAGTGTTTTGCAAGTGTTTTAAACGCATGTTTTAGGTGTTTTAGCTATTTCGAATGTATGTTGCAAGTGTTTTATCTGGATGTTGCAAAAATTAGATCTGGTGTTGCACATGTTGTAATGGGACCCACCTGCCACTGGGGCACCGTGTGGGTGTAACAGAACCGACCAATTATACGAAATTAAGTAAGAAAATCATCCGCCAGAGCAGACGATTTAGCAAACTTAAGCCCGTATAACCCGGTAGTCCGTGAAATCACGAAGGATTTCAAACCAACTTCCATTCCAGCCAAGATTGTAATAAGTTTAGTGGTCACCATCACATATTACATAAAAAGTTGCATCTCAGATACATAAGAGTTTAAACATAGTTATTACAAAACAAGTTCGAGTAAAAGTAGCGGAAGCCATTTGTTCAAACCACACACACACGCACACGGAGTTCAAATACAGTGCCAGCGAATGATCATCTCCAACAAAAGCATCAGACGAGACGTAAGGAATGACCATGCCCATGGTCCTAAGCATCACCATCGCGGGATAAAGCGCGGTTGATACGATGGCCGTAATACATCTCGCCCATCTCGCAACAAGTGGGAATAAAACCCTGAGTATGAGAAGGTACTCAGCTAGACTTACCCGACATAACCAAAAATAAGTGACACCAAGGATTATGAAGGGCTTTATAGTAGGGTAGCTGACTCATTTGCAAAGAAAGCATTTTAGCATTTCAAGAACCTTTCTAAAAGTATTATTGCCAAATTAATTATTTATAACTGTCGACTAGATTTGCACCTACACTAGAGCAAACATGTGATTAAGCCAATAATGATAACCAATGATCATTAACAACTTCCATCTTGTCATATTCATTATAAGCATCCAACTGTTCCATAAACATTTACTACGATGAAGTAACTCAAGTCAAGTGCTCACTATCCGGGCGATGGCGATTTGAATCGATTCCTAACAAGTCGGTGATTTATTCCTTACACAAACCTCACTCACCCGCTAAAGTGAGGTATTGATCACCGAGTCAACTATCCGGTAT